CATTTTTCTTTTTTTTAGTTAACCATCTATTTTACCGTCGAGACACAAAATATCTTGGCCAAGACGGCAGAAATAAAAAAATGTCAATAAAAAGTGTCACATAAAAGAAACAAGCAACAGACTTCAAAACAAACAGCTAATTAAATCTAACAATTAATTAGCAATTCAGTAACAAGGTATTTTTATTCAGTGATCAAATTATTATCTAATTATTAGTATAGTTTAACTTTTTGATTTTGTAGACAGACGTATTAACCTTTTTTTTTCAAAAAGTGATCTTGACAATAATCCATGAGAATCATTAGTTCCAATCTTTTTTGAAAAAAGAAAAAGCTTGACCTGTTAATAAAATGTATTTGTTTGAATCAATTTGAAAAGCAACCCACAAACTAAACATTGTAAAATCAATGTGTTAATTTGTGGCGCAGCCTAACTCGGCTGACACGCTAATATGTGACTTCAGAGTTGGTGTTTAGGTAAAAAAGATATTGTAGGCAGTCGCATTTTGTAAAAGGCAGCAAGCCGCTATTATCCAGGATTTTTCCATCTACAGTGTAGAATCAATTTTGTGCTAACAAGGAGAAAAACAATTGCATAATTGACTGGGGGCAATTTAGAATAAATCAAGTTCACAGCGCAGTGCCTGTTGCACTTGGTCATTCGGTCGGATAATGACGGATAAAACCTTTCATTTTCCTCACACAGTGATATAATATAATAGCATGTTTTCAACATGCAATAGTGTTTCTGACAAAGCAATGATTGATACGGAATAGATGCAGCCGTTATAAATGTAAAATGTGAAAATATACAGTAGCTGTGAGTACTATGTGCAAAAATTAAACATATATAACATTTCTTAGACATGAGCATATTTTAAATGGGCTTCTTAGGAACGACATAAGACGGGATTCACAGGCTATTAAGTGTCATGTAAGTGTGACAGTTAAAAGCATCTTTAACAGTATTAAAGTCAATCGTCCGTGTAGCTACTTAGTGATTTCTAGCATTTCCCAGAATGTCCTTCATCCAGCGGAACGGTTTCCATTTAACTGTGGGCGTCACTTCCAAGTATTGAAACCAGTGGTTGTAAACCTTTTCTTTCCTTTACTTAGAGTCACGAACACACTCATTTGCCTGCTTTTAATCAATTGCTTTACAAGTTATTGAAATTGAAGCAACACATATCCACTGGAGATTCAATATCATAGTGTCACACTTATTTGTTTTGTGTAGGAGGAGAGAGCCATAACAGCAGCTGTCAGCTGAGAAACAGTTGTGCATCTTCTGCAAACATGAACCTGTTTTGCCGCTTCATTTCATAAAAGGAGTATTGAGCCTTAATACTCCATTAAAAAAGGAGTGGCACAGAAAAGGCATTGTCACAACCTGATTAGCCAGGAGGGGAAACGCACCAAGCTGCTCTCATTTCTTAATCAGCAGCCGGTCCTCACACCCTGCACAACAGGTGATCTGAATAACCCTCCAATCAACTCAAGGGAGGTGTGCCAATCAGCTATAAATGAATTGGGAAAGGGGAAATGACAGCAAGTATCAAAGAATGAGGGACCGCTGGACATGTAGTTACAACCCACAACCGTGTTGTAGAGATGCACTGACTTTCTCAGTCCCGATACCTGGGATTTGGGAATCAGTCGATACAAAGTACAAATCCAGTACCAGAGTTTAAATAATGAGCTGTTTGCCTCGTTATGTAAAGAGACCGGGATCATGTGTAGCATCAGGAGCCAACATAGACTTGTGCAGCCTGTTCTTTTTTTATTTTTTTTAAAGGCTCAAGGTTTTATCAAACAAACAAGGAAATACTGGGCTGCAGCGTTGCCTCCTGCAGTCAAACTCTCTTCTAGCACGGTGTTGATGAAAGCTTAACATGCACAATAGAGACACATTAGAGTGCTGTGATTGGTCACTGATCCGTCATTAACTCAGAGTGTGTGTGTGTGTGTGTGTGTGTGTTTTGGTAAACTACTGAACCAAATAAAAGCGGTAAAATGGAGACACTGATCCCTTTGCTGATATGTATCAGCTGATAACTTCTTCCACACACAATTGCATTTTTCTATGATAATATTTTGTTTTATTTTGTCTCTTATAAAGCATTGGGTCTGGATCTATTTATCTGCAGGAGGTTCTGCTTCTTTAATATTACATGATGATAAACGTGATTATTGTTACCCTGCTAATGTGTTAATGCTGTTTTTTATTGCATGTGTTGGCCCCCTCATACATTTAAGGTTTAAAGAAATACCTTATTTTCTTAACTATCACCACACAGTTTAATCAATACGTTTTGAAAGGGTTGTTCAAACACTCAATATAGTAGATGATCATACAGACCTTCAGTTTAAGTTAAAAGTGAACAAAATGTACACTTGACAGTTATATGTCCTTTTGTTTTCCCTCCCTGCTACACACTCTGATGCGGACACGCACATACTTTATTGTTCTTTACATGCCCAAACTTCTCTGTTTTTTAGAAGCATTAGATAAGTAGGTAGAAAGTAAGACTGGTTAGTCTGCCTATACAATATGTAAATATGGATAGGCAGTTAGACTAGTAGGTAGGTGGGTTGGTAAATACAAAAGTAGTTTAGTCATAGGATGAGAGAATAGTGGGTTAAGTGTTGTTGCGTGCAGTTTCATGCAATTTGCAGCATGGAAATACACTCGGCAGCCTGTTTATTAGATACACAGAGTTAAAACTAGTGCTGAAACCTCAAAACCGAGGAGGGATCCCTTTCCCAGGAGATATAAGAAGTGGATGTAGTCACCATGACATCACTATTGGTTTGTGGACCAAGGCTAGGTTCTTGGCCGTCGCCATCTCTTCTATACGATCAGAATTAGTTTTGCAACCAGAGGAGTTGCCCCCTGAAGGCCATTAGAAAGAATGCAAGTGTCAGGCACTTACGCATTGGTTTCAGTTGCAGCCTGGTTTCTCCTTGCGGCAAACAGATATTCTCCCAAACTGTAGGGGGCAGTGAATGGAGAACTTATGTCTAAAGCACTGTTTTAGCACGGTTTCCTCCCATCTGCGGCCGTGTAGTTAAAAATGCTGGAAGTCACAGACAGACGTTCTACTCTGCCACTGATTGGCTTAACCTGATACCCTTACCCTTACCCAAACCAATCTCAATCCTTGTGCCTTAACCTAAGCAATCCTACCAATGAAGGCAACTAGTACCAGACAATCAGGGGCCGAGCAGGGGCCTTCGCCATGGCAGATGTGGTAATTTGGCGCACATGGATCCATGCCAAGGGGGTGTTTCTGGTGGTAGGACGTCACTCTGACTGCGTGGACACTCGCTACCCTTGCGGATGCGCCAAGTAAAAAAATCAAGCAACCCTCAATTTGGATAAGGAAAAACATGGAAAATTTTGAAGAAACTCAGGAAGATCAACAGAGCATGGATCCCTCTCCCTGGACGGACAGACGAGCAATTTATTGTTTGAACAGAATACACCAACATAGTCAAATTAGAGTATTGACATTCAAGACTTCATAGTCTGCCGTGACTCATTGGAGCAGGGCATGAAACAGGGCTTGAAATTTGGATAAAAGGTCAAAAGACATATGAGTGTTTGAAATAAAGTTTTCATTTTTAAACAAGTAAGTGGTCTCCTGGTACAGTATGCTTCAATTTGTCCAGCACTGTGAAATAAGTTAGTCAGCACGATGGACGTGCAGGTAGAAAGTAGCTGTGTGGGTTCGTAGATGTGGTTCGAGACCCAGCAGCTGTCTGTTCAGCAGTGATTTAGTGTCTGACATGGGTGAGCCTTGTGGCTCAATAGCACTAAAAGGCTCATCCTGTCTAATGGGGTTCCTCTATGACGCAGACGAAGAGAGGCAACCCCTCCCCTTCTTTCACTCTGACATATAATCCAGAACACACACGTACGCACACACCTACTGTACGCCCATTCATTTTAGTCCACTGTGCAGAGACCGTAAGCACACGCAGACACAGATAAACACACACACACACACGCTGTCCTGCACACTAATGAAAAGGAAGGGAATTGAGACGATGCTGCACGACAAACAGATGTGTAATTGCTTTTGAGATACGGCTCTTGTCGGAGGCTGTCATCGATTGGTCTTTGCCGAGGACAACTCGTTTACTCAGTGTGTGGGAGGAGGCCCGGGCGGCAGTGATCATTACTGGACTGACTGTGGTATCACTTTATTAACTCAATGTGGTTTGATGTTTCACTGTAGGAGGGGAGGGAGGTTGTCATACATACAGAAGCTGCTGAGAGACAACAAATGTGCTTCAGGTTAATCAGACTGATTAAAAAAATACACAATTTAGGTTACAGAAGAAGACAATCACACAATGCCTTGTAGTTTGAAAGTAGTTTAGCCGATACTCTGAGCAGAGTTGACACATGTGGTTGAGTTTATTAGTTGCGGTGAATCAAGATTACATAAGCTGATTGTGTGTCTACACTGAGCTGAAGCACACAGTGGGTGTGGAGCTGGAGTTGGTGCTATCCAAACAGCGTTATGAATGAAGAGGCCAGGAGTGCGTCACTGTGTAGTGTACGTCCCTCCCCAGCAGATGGCCCCGCCTGCAAGTGCTGAGGGTGGCGGCGGTGCTAGTGGGGGGGGGGGAGGTTATTGATTTGGCATTTGAGATATAGCGTGCAATGTGTGCAACATTTTTGGAAGGTTCTTAAAATATGTATTGCTGGTGATGCTTCTCCATGGACACCAGCTTGCTTTGCGTCCTATTTAATTAATGACATCAATGCAAATTGGGGATAGCAAATGGTCCAAACGACTGAAGGATTTTGTGAATGAGCACTTACTGACTGAGGAATGACGTCAGCGCAAAGCCATATCCCTTATTAGTGAGCCAGGACTGAGAGGAGGCGTCCCATTGGCTCGCCATGGCATCAGAGCGACGTGATTGGCTGCCGACGGATAATTAAACACCTACACAGTCAATGCACAAATCCAAGTGGTGGGATATATAGGCTGCTGCGTTGGCGCTGCATGCAACAGAATCAAGAGTTGTTCTGCAAGTTGAGAGAAAGTCAACTTATTGTGTTTTGCATTGAGATACATAGTGATATATATTTATTTATTTTTTTTGCTGGGTGATTATCACTGAAGGTAAGTGTCGACTTTTAATGTTGGGCGATGTGTTGGGACTACGAATGTACCTGATGAGCTGTTTGCGTGTGTGCGGATGAGAGAGGGGAGATGGACACAGAGCCACTGCGTTGGACTGTGGTGACGTGATAGTGTTGGTAATGGGATTGGAGTGTGGCCACGGGGGTCACCGGCAGCACCGCCATACATTTTTCAAAAGGGGTCCAGTGCGCTACTTGAAGGCCAGGGACCGAAAAACGGGAGGAAAATGGGAGGGAAGACAGAAAGAAAGGGGCTAAAGTGACAGAACAGCAAGTGAATGAGGAATAGGAAATAAGAGATGGACAGGAGGAATGAGGTTTCAGTGTGTGTGTGTGTGTGTGTGTGTGTGTGTGTGTGTGTGTGTGTGTTTGAGAGAGAGAGTGTGTGTGTGAGAGAGAGAGAGAGAGAGTGCTGGCAGCTTGTTACACTAATGCACTGATCCCTTAGGGAGTTGGCAAGCTTGGAGTCCCCCCTCCCTCTCTCCCTATTTTACCCCTCCTCTTCCAGCGCTAGCAAGTGCTACATGCCCTGCGTAGACCAGGACCCCCCTTAGTTAACCCCCCCCCCCCGCCACAACACACTAACACACACACTCCAGGACCTGCAGGGCACAACATGAGAGAACTACCTGTCCTGTGCTCTGGGCTGGATGTTTTGGAGGAACAGTGCGTTTTGCAGAAGAAGAGTAGGCTGGGGGATTTCAGATTTTGAAAGGGTGTTGTTTGGAAGTAAAAGCGAGGATGTGCAGCAGGAGACCACGGCTAAAATAGTGGCAAGCTGAGATGTGGGCAGAGCTGAGCTCACCTCTCTGGGAAGTGACAGGAAGCCCTTTTTCTTGTTGCAACTTCTTCCCAACAGCACGAGAGGATCAGCAAGTGTATTTTCTAGACGTATGTTGCTTTGTAGATTTTTAGGTGACCTGCAAACTTATTTCTAGCGGTGTGAGTGTGAATGGCAGCAGTCTTGTGCACAAGGAGCTGATGGAGGTTGTCTTTCTTGCGATGTAGGGGACCATGGTGATGTTGAAGATCTCTGCTTTCCTCATTGCCTACGCCCTGGTCATTTGCCAGATGTACTGCTCACAAGCCGCCCCTGCCAGGTGAGACAATTTTTACTCAACATTTTTCAAACTCCCAGCTGACATGCATTTTGGCAGCACCTTGAAATATGTACGGAAAAGTAGAATGGACGTAAGATTCCAAATTTTTAGAATCACAAGTAACCAGTGGGAAGGAGAGGAGGGTCGAAATCTTAAAAAAATACATGTTGAATATAGTTTATAGTTTGTCTTTAATATATTTTCAGACACAACATTTTCAGATGTGATGGAAAATAAGAAGAACTGGGATAGATTGATGCAAAGAGGTGCAAACACATTCAAAGATCAAGTGTACAGCAGAACATACAGATAGTGTGTAATATTGTGCATGCACACTAACTTTAAATATGCTTATTCTGGTTCCTTTTAATCATTTATGATGGTACATTTTGGCACTTTCCATGAGCAGGATTAAATATAGCCTCCAGTTGAGTTATTAGGTGTAAAATAAGTAAAAAATGTCTTTAACCACATACATATAAGAAAAAAGAATGTAAATCACATACATTTAATTTCTTAATCTATGAAGTTTGTGTTTTTGCAATTACAATTGGATGCAATCGCAATAGGTTTAATAAAAAGGGAATAATGGAATTAAAAAACAACCAAAAAAGTGAAACTGTATATAAATCTACATGAAACCCCACTCAAGCCAATCCCCACATTGTTCCCATGAAGCCATCGATTTTGTAATAAATCTAAAGCCGGTTGCACATCAGCCCCTCTCTCAGATGGGGCACTTTCCGCAGATTGTTTCCCCGCGTTGGCCGGGGCCCTCCAACTCAGACGTCATCCCTCTCAGAGTTGGTGACGTCCCAGCCAACCCCCTGACCCTTCCTATCCATCCAGCCACTCCACCACCACCCTGCCCCGCCCTAACACCCCACCCCCCAATCGCTCCTTTTAACTGCAGGTGATCATTCCAGCGAAGGATTTAATGCCTGATCTCAATGCCTTTCCTCCCCTTCCCAACCCCGCTCATCCCTTTTTTCGCCACAGACCGGTTTTAGAGTCCATGTCGGACCGAGTCACGCTCACGGACTACGAGGCGCGAAGGTTACTCAATGCCATCGTCAAGGAGTTTGTGCAGATAACGGCGGAGGAGCTGGAGCAGCAGGCAACTGAGGGAAACAGGTACGCAGACGACAAACACGTGACTCATCTGTAATTGAATCCTTTAAAAAAATAAAAAGATTTGACAGGATGGAGAGTTAAACAGTGGAATGTAAAGGTAAAATGGACAGCTCTGGACTTTGTGTGTCATATATTCTGGTTTCACTTTAACACCACTGAAGATGCGTCTTTTTACCGCCCCACTTGGGTTCAATCAGGCGTAGAGGTATGTACTTCCTAGTTGACCAGAAGATAAAAAAAAATGATTTCTCAGAAAAACACATAAAAGAAAATCCCTATTCTCTGTCATCACCCTGCTCCCGCATGGATGAGTTTGATTTGACTTTGTTTGATCGGACGACTATTTCCAGCCTGCCCGCCGGGCATGTGAACAGTGTATGCCTAACGGAACGGATAAGTGTGCATGATGTCAATTAAGTGGAGTTGCATGACAGTGGGAAGCGACTGGTTTCTGTTTGTTCTGTGGGTGTAAAAGATGTGACAAGAGGGGATTGACTTGGGGTGGGGGTGGGGATGGAGGTTTGGCGCATGAGGGGATGGAAGACAGGTTCTTTGAATGGTGTGGAAGGGGGTGGGGGGGAGCATGATGCTATAGGGAGGTGGATGTCTTTTATTTGTACTTTTTTATGGCATGAGAAAGAAATGCACGTGTGCGCTATTGGAAGGGAAAAGAAAGACATGATGAAGAAAGTATTGCCCGCATGTTCATTTTGCCATGCCTATGAGCCTGTTTCTCTCTGCATGTGTTCTTGTGTGTCCCCCCCCCCCTCCCTCGACAGCATGGACAGGCCCCTAACCAAGCGGTGCGCCAACCTCAGCACCTGTGTGCTGGGCAAACTGTCTCAGGAGCTGCACAAGTTGCAGACGTTCCCCCGCACGAACGTGGGAGCCGGAACGCCCGGCAAGAAGCGCAGTGCGCCTGAGAGCGACAGCTATGCAAGCTACGGCGAGACGTTTGACAGCATCTAAGCCCTTCCTCTTCTACCTTTACTGCATCTCTTCCTCCTCCTCTTCCTCTCCTCATCCCCAGTTTCTTCCTTATTGTTTTTTCGGATTGGCAAGTGCATGTTGATTTTACCTGCTTGATTGACATGAGAAGAATATGACCTTTAACGGCAACTAAACTTTTTAGTTCTTATCTCCTCCCTGCATTTTTTTTTTTTTTTTTGGCAGAGAATGATTTGTCCCAAATAATTTTCAGACAATCAGACTTGGTTTATGTAATTCAGGAGCCAGTTCAGACATCCATCTCTGTGTACTGTGCGTGGAGTCACTTGATGGCATTTCAAAGCCCCTGAAACTTAACAGTTGGGAGAGATCACTTAATCGGAACCATTAATAAATGATCCATTCATGCGACACCATGTTTCTTGTTCAATAAACGTATTTTTCTACCAGGAAGCCGTAGCTCATTTTCATTCTTAGGGCTAGTCAGTGGGTACTTCATGAACATGTTTGCAAATATGGACGTAAATGGGATATCATAGCATCCTTGAAATTATCTCTGAAGCTCTCTTCGAGTCCGAAGGTAAGAAAAATGTCGAATTTAAGAAAATATGCGATTAAAACTTGCATATTTTTAACCTGTACGTCCTGTTTTTTTCTCTGTGCTGTGAAGTTAACGTTGATTCAAAAAAAATGAACTGTATGCAGAAATATTGTGTGTGTAGCATCTGTGTGTCAGTATCCTATGGATGGATGTCACATCAGATCTTGGCGTTAACCCCTCGTTTGCTCTCCTGAAGCAGCGTTACAGCACAGAAGCGAGCCTGCAACACGGCAACCTGCGTGACTCACCGCCTGGCGGACTTCCTGAGCCGGTCGGGGGGAATGGGCAACAGCAACTTCGTCCCCACCAACGTCGGCGCCAAGGCCTTCGGCAGGCGGAGAAGCATCCAGATGTGAGCACTGCAAAACCTTCAGGGACATGGTGAATAAAGTTTCTTCTTCTTTAATATTCTTTTGTTGCATGAAGAGCATCGTCTGCTAATTTAAAAAGTGACAAAAAGTTGCAACAAAAGTATTTTAATAACAAAAATGAAAGCAGAATTATTCAAATTTAGGCAATAACACATAAATTGACTTTTGACAATTGATGTATTTAATCACAAATGGATTTAAATAATTTTGGAATGATTTGTAAATGGACTATTGATGAACAGCAGTCAGTTTTGTCCTTTGAAAAGCTTTAAATTTACGTTTAATTTCTCTCTTTTTTTTCTTTCTTTCAGAGGTTGAAACCCGACAAGAAAACACCAGAAAAAACCTGAGAAGAAAAATCAACAAAAACAAAATCAAGCAGAAAATAAACACTGCACTTGCCCTTTATCCACTCCCTCACGTTCTTCTGGGAAAAAAAAAGGACTTCTCGTCCACATTTCCATCCTGTTAGTGAAACCTTTTGCTTTTGGCAAATAAGAGGAAAAAAGAGAAAAAAAGCACTTTAGTTTATGTACATGAACAAATGAACTCCTGGAGAAAAAAAACACCCTAATGGTTCCTCTTTTTTATACATGAGTATCATTGTAAAATAAAATGAAAGCTGCAGTTGTTATCACCTTATTTCTTCTCCACCTTCCACATCGTTAGAGCACATTTCATCTACGCGACGCCCTCCCCATTTGAGATCCATACTCCTCCATACTTCCCTTCCCCTCCCCAGGGTATCCTGTTTTCTTCTTTTCTGTGTGCC